AAGTGAGTGCATAGTTACTTTCATCTTACACATAGATATTAAGTATTTAATATTAATACATGCTATATGTGCTTATTATCCGTGTTCCTGATATCTATGCTAAATGAACAATTTATACATGTTTTACGTGATTTAAATTGTATATGTATTTTTATACCTATAAATATATTGGGTAAAGATGGGTAGATGAATGATGAGAGATGAAAGATGATATAGATGATGAGAGGTGAAAGATGATGAGAAGCCTTGCCTTTAAAGCTGATCCACTCATCTAGTAGAGTATAGACGACGACCACAGACTATTCTAGACAGTCCAATGGAACGCTAGCAGGCTCGCAACCTGTAGGTGTTTTTGAACTACGTGTTCACCAGATGTACTCTAAAAACCCTAATAGATATGGACTTAGTGCCTTATGAATGAACATTGGCAACTATGGACTTAGTGCCAAATGGATAACATTGGCAGTTGTGCCTAACAGATTACATCGACAACTATGGACTTAGTGCATGTTGGATAAACCCTGACAACGATGGACCTCATGCCTATTCCTTAGGAAAATCCTTAGAATAAATATTGAAGAATATATGATTCTTAGGGTAGATCCTTAAGAATAAAGAAGATAATAGGGATGGGTAATCGGGTTAATTGTTGGACATGAAGTATGTGAAGAAACAAATTAACTATATTATTGTGGGTTGAAACCCTATGTACTCACTAGGTTTCCCAACCTGACCCACTCAGTTTATTTGTATCACAGGTATCGATGCGAAAATACGTTACACTGATAGAATAAAGGAGATGTAAATCAATAGTGTAAATGAATGTAAGGTCTGTTTATGCTTATGTTTATGTATTGACGATGACATCCAAATGTTTTAATATAAATAAAATACATTTCTTCAAAAATGATTTGATAATATATTTATCATATTTTTGGGGACAAATTCCGCAATAATATTCTTCAAAAAGGATACTCTGATTTTAAAATAAGCATAAATAAATTTTTTAAAACGACCGTGAATTTGGGGATGTCACAAAAAAGTTCTGCAATCTTTCAACTATGATCAGTCCAAACCAGTTGGAACTCCTTTGGCGGCTCACTTTAAACTTGGTCCATATACTATACCCACAACTAATGAAGAAAGGAAATACATGAGCAGGGTTCCTTACTCTAGGCTGTTGGAAGTCTCATATATGCAATGGTCTGTACCAGACCTGATTTGGCACATTCAGTTAGTGTGGTAAGCAGGTTTATGAGTAATCCAAGGAAGACTCATTAGGAAGTTGTCAAGTGGATCATGCGATACTTGAAGGGAACGACAGATGTTTGTTTGGTGTATGGAGCAAATATGAAGAATGACTTGGTTGGAGATATTGACTCTGATCATGGAGGTGACTTTTTGAAGCACAGGTCACAAACATGTTATATTTTCACTTTATTCGGATGTGCCATCACTTGGAAGTCAACGTTATAAGATACCGTGGCTTTGTCTACAATTAAATTTAAATACATGTATATGACAGAAGGAATAAAAGAGGAGATAAGGTTGCATGGGCTTATTTAGAGTCCTGGTTTGAAGGTGGAGAAGCATGTATTGTACTGTGACAGTTAGAGTGCGTTGAATCTTGCCAAGAATCCTATGTATCATGAGAAGATGAATCATATTGATGTAAGATTGAATTTCATTAGTGATATTCTGGAAACAGACAAGTTCTCAATACTGAAGATTGATACCAAGGTGAATCCAACAGACATGTTAACAAAGTCGTTACCCACGGAGAAGTTCAAGCTTTTCTTGGACTTGGTTGATGTTCGCAGGAGGTAATCCCTTTCGAGGCTTGATGGCAGGAATGGAGAGGATGTTCTTGTTTGAGGTGGAGTTCAAAGGATGCTCAAAGTCAAGGTGGAGATTGTTAATTGTGACTTAAGCATTTGGAGCATTTGAGTTCAATGGAGCACTTGAAACTCAAAGGAGCACTTGGGGTTCATGAAGCATGTAACAAAGGAATAAATCATCTGAGAAAGGGATGGATCTCCTGACAAAGGAACGAATCAAGTAACAAAGGAACGAATCTTCTAAAAGGAGGTATGAAGCACCTAGAAGTGGAATGGAGCATCCTATGCATGGATGTACCACTTATAAGTCAAGGTGCACCACTATTGGAACTTGATATGCCACGAAGTGACTTGATATGCCACCAAGTGACATGATATGCCACCAAGTGACAAGATATGCCATTCATGAAGTGGATGCGCCATTGTGGAGTGGATGTATAGTTATTCCAACCTTGGAGAGGATGTTCCATCCCTCTATCAAGATGCGCCATCCTCATGCCTGATGTGCCATCTTGATGCAAGGATGCGCCACTTGGTTCCTTGATATGCCAAGGTATCCCTTGATGATTTGTATGTTATGAAGTCCCCTATGATGCGCAAGATTGTTCAACGAAGCTTAGAATTTGAAGATGCTCAAGGATTATTTCTTGATGTGTCACCATAATGGTTGATATGTCATGGTGATCCTTATATGTCACTCTTGCATCATGATATGCTACTATGGATCATGATGCTCCATCATGTGTGTTGCTGATGCTCATACAAGGATGAATGTTCCAGAAGATGTTGCATGGTGGATTGTGATTGGTTGACACCTTTCACGGGCCTATGGGCCAATGGGTTTGGCCCATTAGAGTTTTAGGTATGATCCCTCAAGTATAGATATGGATGCATGCTAAGTCATTTTGTATCTTGAATTCTAGAGTGTTAGGTGAATCTCTGTGAAAATTGCACTTGTAATCTCTGTTTGAGAGTTTTGAAATAAAGAATACTCCCCTCCCTCCCGTGGACGTAGGCCACCTTGACCGAACCACGTAAATATTGTGTCTTTTGTGCTTATAGGGGGGGGGGGACCTGAGATTAGGGTTTTCTCTTAAGGGATTGTCTTCCTTTTATAGTTGTACAAACCTAAATATTTACTTCATCCCCAAGTTTGGTTTAAATTATAAAATTACCTTATTAAGATAATAACCTTTGACTTACTACAAAATAAGTTATTTTCTTATAGTTTCTAAATAACCATAAAGTATTAATGAATAATAAACTAGCCTATTTATTTATTTATTTATTTATTTCTTGCTTTTGGGTTGTTTCTTGTATGGTAATACTAAGCTTATGTATATATTTGTATTGTCACTAACTTGTTGAGTTAATAGACATATATCCAATAAAACAATCATTTTATATGTGTCAAAAACAAACCACATAAGAAGTTCAGCTAAAAGGGACCATTGTTGTTGTTTTAGTAGTTGTCATTTGAATTTGAATTTTTGTAAACAGCAGAACAAATCATGAAATTATGTCTATATATAAGGATATAAAGATATTAATATAGATGTGTACTAATCTTACTAATTTTCAAAAAAAACCCCATCCATTTTCATAACATTTTGTTTCAAGTTATGAATTTTAATAAATGATCCTAAATTACATTCAAAATATATTGTAAAAAACTTATCGATGTACATCTTATGTTGTGCACATTAAATCCATATTTTTAAAATCAAGAATCTTATACGAAACCGGTTTAAGGTGTAACTAGATTGGAGATATTCGGACTGGATATCCAATTTGGTGGATACAACCTAGATCAAACAAAAATCAAAGCATTGAAATTTAAAAAGCCGGATTTTTAAGGTTCATGTTGGAAATTAAAAAAGTCGTTTTCCTTAGAAAAGAGGATATATAGTCATTATAAAATCTAATTTCCGATTCTAGCCGCAATGACTTGTGAGTTGGTAATTGTCCAACCTTCAACAGTAGTTGTGGATTAAGCTTTTACTCTTAGTGGCAATGTAGTATCAAGACTCGCCTCTTGATCAATTGATGTATGCATTTGTTTGAGAATTACATAGATGGTGTAAAATGGATACAAAATTTTGTTTCACTTAAATGTGAATTAGAACCGGTCGGCCAACAATTACATGTAGAAGAAGTTGCACTTAAGATATTATACCAAACTATCGAAATGGATGAGAAAGGTGATAATGAATTTGACAAAGTCTGACAAGAATAAGATTAACAAATCGGAAATGACAATTAAATAGCCAACAAAGAATGTATTTCCTTTCCCAATGTTATATTTTTTACTAGTTGTGAAACTCGTGTATTACACGGGTTTATTAAAATTAAAAATTTAATATCAATATATAAACATTAAATATTTTATAAATTAATATTTTTACATAACAAAATATAATTTTTTGGAAAATTTATAAAAAAATCAAATCGTTTGGAGCATTTACAAGAATTTATTATCAAATTAATATATAGAATAACTCTCTTTCCTTATAAAACCCGTTAGAATTTTATGGAATTTTATTATAAGAAATAGAAATCCCCAAAAGATGACAAGTGGAATATAAAAATTTTAAAACTCCTATAAAATGACATGTGTTAAAATGGAGGAGAATATGACATGTGACAAAAAGATTTTCATTTATTATGGTAGGTTAGAGTTTTTATTTTTTCATTTTGTATTAAAAGTTAAATAAAATACTATCTATTTGATTGAAATTAAAATCAGTTTTGCAAATAAAAACAAAATTATCTAGAAATATGGTTTCCAAAAACCGGTTTCGAACGGTCCAATCTGGTCACAAAGAATACCCTTTTCACCTCTCAAACATCTTGCATAAATTGGTGAACTTTTAGTAACATAATGTGGTTACCTAAACCGTGTAAACAAATATTTGATTTCTTAAATTAATTAAATAAGTTAAACATTGTTTTATATATATATATATATATATATATATATATATATATATATATATATATATATTATATATATATATATATATATATATATATATATATATATATATTCAAATGGATCATCAACCATAGACCAAGGCTCATTTGGAGAAAATCAGTTTTCAAGAAATTAGGTAATCTAATTATATATCGAGCCATTACTTGGATCTAATATATATATAACACCAACATTTCATGTCCTTTTCTATGCCATCTATGCCATCAACCACAAATGACAAGGTCAATATTTCTAGTTATGGGTGTTTTAGCCATCCTTGGGTATGCATCAATGTGTAGAGCCACAACGTACACGGTGGGTGACACCTCTGGTTGGGACATAGCCACCGATGTCGATTCATGGGCTCAAGATAAACATTTTGTCGTTGGTGACGTTCTTTGTGAGTATCTTTATCTCAAAAATTAAGAACTTGTATTGTTATACTAGTGATTAGTTAATTATATTGTTTTTATTTGAATTTATGCTTTTATTTTTGTAGCTTTTCAATACTCTTCAAGTCATAGTGTGGCGGAGGTGAATCGAGATAGATACGAGGGGTGCAACACGACCAATGTACTACAACCAAGTAGTAATGGGAACACAACATTTGCTTTGACAAAACCAGGAGATAGGTACTTCATATGTGGTAAGCAGCTACATTGCTATGCTGGAATGAAGCTTCACGTGGTTGTTGAAGGTAAGGCCGCAGAAGCACCTGCCGGAGCACCACAGGCGGAGTCCGGTGGTGATTCCACCACCACCACGATCCCTTCTTCAAAAAATAATAATCCATCGCCTATTGTTCGTAATTCATCCACATTTGTGCGTGTTGGGTTTAAGTCACTAGTTTTCGTGGCTTTTACATGTCTTATGTCATGGATTATGTAGAAATCTTGAATGAATCCAATGTTATGTTTTCATGTTCAGCAACTTATCTTTGGAATAAAATTGGCTTGTGTCATAAGGGTAACTTAATTTGTTTGATTTGTCTTTTGATCGCTACACTGTTTAATCTATTTGTTCAAATATAGCACTTAATGTTCCAAAAAATCTCATGATAATAAAATTTTAAAAAGCTAAAGCTTTACACAAACCATATTAAAATTTAGAAACTGAGAGGAATATTTCCAAAATATAATTTTTTTCTAATACAGGGACGAAACAGCAAATATTTTTTTTTTCCAAACGTGTCTCCAACTTAAAAATTTAAACCCAAAGAGCCTCCGGGAGAGAAATGGCGGAAGAGGAGAACGGAGCGACGGGCGGCGGGGAGTTTTACCTGAGGTACTACGTAGGGCACAAGGGAAAGTTTGGACATGAATTTTTGGAGTTTGAGTTCCGACCTGACGGGAAGCTCCGCTACGCCAACAACTCCAACTACAAGAACGACACCATGATCCGCAAGGAGGTCTTCCTCACCCCTTCTGTTCTCAAAGAGTGCCGCCGTATTGTATCCGATTCCGATGTTAGTGTTTCTCTTCACCTGTCTATTGTTTTTTCGGAATAATTGCGTTTGTTAGGGTTTCAACAGGCTCTATTACTTTTCCGATTTGCGGACATTATTTGGTTTCTGACTTTAGTTAATTAGAAAACTGTTAGGGTTTTGAATTGATTGGCTGGTAATTCGTTAACTTTTGAGAGATCTCGTCCTAAAAAAACTTATAAAATCAGAACTTCAAGGGAAACATATGTGTGACGGATTGAATTTGTGGAGCGTTGCAAGGGAAACATGGTAATTTGATTGTGGTTTTGGTTTGGTTGTTAGATTATGAAGGAAGATGACAACAACTGGCCAGAACCAGATCGTGTAGGACGACAAGAGCTTGAGATTGTGATGGGCAATGAACACATCTCCTTCACTACTTCCAAGATTGGGTCGCTAATGGATGTTCAGACCAGTAATGATCCTGAAGGCCTCCGCATCTTCTATTATCTCGTCCAGGTGTGTAATCCATTTCTGTTATTGATTTCAAACCAAAAGGTCTGTCTGTTTGTGATCACATAAACTGCATGTCATGCTTCTCTTGTTTATCTTATATATATGGCAAAAAAATGAGCTACATGGTACATTTTCAGTGCTTGAATTTCCAAATGTCCCATTTCTTCATTAGGAGCCATTTCTGATTGAAACTTTGGAAAGATGATTAAAGTATTTATAATGGATTCATGGAAATACTTGATATACTCATTACATATGTAACATACATGAACAAAGTTTACATATAAAAGATGATCAATTTACACCGATTCTCTTTTCAGATTAACGTTCATTAGAACATCAATGGAATCATTTTATCCTTATTTATTAAACTTGTATACTTGGTAGATGTCCATATATTGATTGTAACAGAAGTATTAATGTTTCAGGACTTGAAGTGTTTTGTGTTCTCGCTGATCTCTCTTCATTTAAAGATCAAGCCGATTTAAGAAACATTGATGCTACATCTTGGATTTTGGAACTATGTACTACACTCACCCCAGTTGACTCTCATCTTCATGACTTTGACTCTGTGTGCTTGGTATTTTAACGTTCATAGTTGAGTTCCAGGCATTGCATAATATGGTGTTACACTGGCTGTTATTTCTTTTAAAAAAGAACTATTGTCTAATGGTATTCTTTTGTAAACATACTTTTAGAAAAATGGACAAGTGCTAACCAGCATTTGATGATGTCATTGGAATGATTAAGAAGACTAAAAACAGGTCTTCGATGCACACGTAATGGGGAATTAACATGGGTTAATGTCATATTAACCCAACAAACTTTTCCCATTTGTTTTAAAAGGTCACTAAAGTTTTTTTTTATCACTTTTAGGGAATAAAGTCCAATTTCAAGTGTTTAAAACATCATTTTAGAAGAAACAACCCGGTAAGCCAGTTGTTTGTAGGGCTCATAGCTTAAATAAATGACATGTATCATTTAGGTTAAATTTTGGTAAAACAAAAAAAATCCCCCCACCACCCAGATGTCGCCTGCGTTCCCTTCCTCTCGACTTCACATCTTCTTCTTTGATTCCGACATAGCCTTTGTACCGAGAGAGCAGAGAAGCAAAAGGGCAGACAAAAAGAGCTTAAGATCAACAGCACAATTCCAAACAACAACAATAAGTGGGTTGAGTGTAGTCGTTCATCTGCTCCACTTATATAGACATTCCTTAAGTGGCTTTTGAACAATTAGTGGAGTAATATAAAATTTTAGTTCAATTTCTCGATTTGCTTGAATTATTTGAAATTCCTTTATGTGGGTGTTGAACAATTGATGGAGTAAACCACTTGGGTTGTGGTGACTTGGTAAGACATGTGGAAGATATGGTGGATAACCTACTGACCCATGTTCAAATCCTGTCACCACTCAGCCCTTGTGGCTATGGAGGTTCGCCTGCAGTGACTCCAGGGCATGAGGCAAAGTCTCATGTTTGCAGTGGGGGATTAGTCGGTGCGCGAAAGCTGGTCCGGAAACCCTCGTTAGGGAAGTTCCTTTTCCAAAAAAAAAAAAACAATTGATGGAGTAACACATGTGTTTTGGTCCGATTCTTGATTTGCTTCACTTTTTGCGATGTTCCTTCAAGTAGGCGCTGAAATTTAAGTTTCTATGTAGACATCTTGATTGTGCATCAATTCTTTGAAATTCAAGGGCAACACAACAGTGTTTCTTTTACCATTTTCATGGATTGAAGAATGAATAGAAAAACAGATGAAAATTGGTCCTGTCGCCATCCTTAATTGGTCCTTCATTCGTAATGACCAGCCCAAGTAACCCAATTTTCATCTTTTCATTCCAAGAACAGATGAAAATTTGTTTAAATATGATTGGAATTTGAATATTGATTAGTTTATTTCTAGATTTATAATAGATGAGACAAGATGATGGTGATGATTAAGAATAAAGTCCAGGATCTCAAGAAAGAAAACTGGAATCAAAATCATCCAAATTGATGAAGTAGTGATCCAAACCGATGAAGTAGTGTTGAGAGAATGTTCTGTACGTGTTCCGTGTTGGAATCTGTCAAATATGATATCCACTCTCCAAGAAATAGAAAGGAAGAAACAGGAGAGTATTAATGGTGACGAAGTGAAGTAGTGAACAGGTAAAAAACGATGTTGGTGAGGTGTTTGTCCACATCAGCATCTTCTATCACACTGTCACACCCCAAAACCGGAACGGCGGAAATATTCTGGGGCAGAGGGCGTCATGTACAGTATCATAACAATGCATAATAGTAAACAAACAACAACATCCATTGCATTAATAGAATAATTTTAATACAAGCGTGTTCTGTATAGTTTATAAGACACCAAAAATATGAATCAAAATAAAACATGAGTCTTGAATGTGCTCCATCTTCTCAAAAGTTTCATCGGTACCTGTCTACTGATGACCTGAGAATACAAGTTATTTTGAAGGAGTTTATCAGCATTAAAGCTGGTGAGTTTATAAGTATTTAGTGTCATTGCTTGTATGAAAATGTTTGTAAGTTTGAAGAAAATGTTTGTAAGTTTTCAATGTAAATGTTTGTAGTGAATAATTGTATCTCCTAGAAAATCCTATATTTTCTACTAAAAGTGGCCTTTTACCAAGGCAACAATGTTCTGTATGTTTGTTTCGTGTAAAAGTGTGTATTTTCCCAAGTATGACTATTATTAACTAAATATAGTTTACACATTTATGAATATGTGAGAATATCACAAAGTAAATGTAATAGGGAAAATAATGTTTTACCTCAGCAGTAACACTGCTGGCTATAAAGTGATAAAATTCAGACTCCAGGTAGTATTAAATGTAGAATACCCCTCGGGGAGTCTAAAGTAGTCTTTAATCTTTAGTTGGTTAATTAAAGGCTTAAATGTGAACTCGTATGTAACCATGTTGATCGACGACTGAATAATTGATGACCCTCCGGTGTCATATGTAGTGAGGTGACATTTTGTCACCCCTTGGCCTTATCGGCTGGGACTATAGCTAGCAGTCGGGGTGTGGGAGTGTCTGTCCCGTATAGATCTATACACACAATGCCCGCTCTCCCTCCAGGAGACTCTGGTTACAAAATGATACAACACAGTCTTGTTGTATCCGAAAACAGTGTGTCACATTCTAGTTATCGTATTCTAATGTTTGTATAGTAAGTCATAGTGTAGTAATGTTCTCTCTGTACTAGTGTATAGTATATTCTCTTGTATAGTGACTAATGTGTATTGTATTTCGTTATAGTATGTTTGTAATGACTTGTAAATGTACTGACTCTTGTATGCTTCGTTGTACTAGTAATAGTGATTAGTAATCTCTTAAACTATACCTATTATAGTTTACTAGTAATGTTGTTTGTATGCCTTTGCTACCCAAAGGTACTGAACTGAAGTAAAAGCTTTTATATCTAAACACATATATATGATATATAACTAAGGTTTCAACGACATTTGGACAAATAACAGGATACTCTAAGTCCACAACCAAACAAGGAACAAGAAATAAAGTGAGCTATCAGTCCTAAGTCCTTCAAATCTTACTTATATAAATATATCTGTATAGACATGAGTTTGACAATAATATAAGTTTAAAAGAGTTTGATAAGGATTTAGCATTTAAAAGAGTTTAATAAAATGTTTTGAAGTGTTTGAAATCCATAAGTTTGATAACAATTTGAAAGTAATAGAAAATCTTTCTGTTCGTTCTAGTTATTAATCACATGTGATTAATATAATAACTAGAATGTTTCAACTTGTATTCCCCCCCATAAAAGCATTTAAAATCGTTTCAAAGGTTGATTAAGGGGTATGAACTCACCTGTAGTGAGTGGTTTGGATGGAAGTGCTGGATAGGATGCTAAGTGTCAAGTGAGGACTTGAGTACACACGGATCCTATTTAACATATAATGACACATATATGTATCTAATTAGTGATTGAACAACTAATTAAGCAAGTATAAACACCCTAGGACATGGAAAACACTTTGATTCAAGTGATAGAAGTGCAAAGGGTTGTATCTAAGGGTTGTAGGGCCTCACATTGGAGTTTACGGCCCATGGGTTCACGACCCAAAGTGTTTACGACCCATGGGTTTACAGCCCAATGAGTTTACGGCCGTAAAATCATGGTATCTTGTACCATTTTGTGTGTTTAAGGTCCTATGTTCTTCCTTGAGGTGTTCTAGACTTAGATCCAAGGCTTAGGAAGGAGTTGTGGCAACATTGCACCACTAACTAGGGTTTACGACCAAGGGAGATTGCCTTGGCCGTAAACACCCTTTTGTTCCATATTTCTGGATGTTAACAAGGTGTTTAACAACTGATTCAAGTATACAACAAGTTAAGGATAGTGTACTTACGTTTTGAAGGCAAATGGGGGTGTTTTCGGACCAAAACACTTAAGTGTTCTTGGTGTTCTTGAGGATCTTGAAGATCTAGACTCAAAAGATGAGATTTGTGGATAAATTCAAGAGCGAATCAAGAAGAAGAGATGTGTTAACACATTGATGGAAGGATTTACTTACATTTTTGAAGATTGGGAGCAAAAATCTCAAGATCCTTGGGAGAGAATTCCGAGTTCTTGGGCTTGGAATGGTGAAAATGAAGGAAAAACGACTAAGGCCCATATATATAGCATGGTGTTTACGGCCACCATGGGTTTACGGCCGTAAACTCATGGGTCCTGGCCGTAAACACCTCTTTAGAGGGTTTATGGTTTGCTTGATAGTTTACAATCCAATGGACACTTCCTATCACTCATTCTTTGGATATACTAGGCTCGGAATGCTCAAATAGACTCAAAATAGTGCTAGAAGTTAGCAGGAACAAGTCTAACTTTGATTGGATTGAATGCTTTATACAAGATTGAAATTTCGGGTTGTGACACACACGTAGCATTTTAACTTCTTATAGCCGGTATAGGGACTAAATAAACAGGTAAAAAACGAGTTTATTCCTTAAAAGTGAAAAAAAAAACTTTAGTGACCATTTAAAACAAATGGGAAAAGTTCGTTGGGTTAATATGATATTTGCCCAATTAACATCATCTGACCAATTACTAGTTGCATTTCCTTCATCTCCAACGATCATATTATGTAATATAACGTATTCATACATTATATCATTTTTGTTTCTAAATTGCAAAGATTTTGTTGGACCACACATATTTTATCCTTTATGTTTCTTTACACTTGATCGATCTTTCCTTTTTGGGTCGGAATGATGTTTGAAAACTTTTAACCATTGTAACTTATTCTAGATAATAATATCCTTTTGTGCATGTTTTGCCACTCACCACAAATACCCTTGTGACACCTGATTGAATAATGGTGATTGGTTATGTAAATTTACGTTATTGTTTGACCTACCCACCTTAAAATATGCATGCCATACCCAAAGGTCTTGTAATGTAGCTACTTCCAGCATAATTGGTCAGACACCCTTAATAACCTCAAGTATATCACACTGTCACACCCCAAAACCGGAACGGCGGAAATGTTCTGGGGCGGAGGACGTCATGTACAGTATCATAACAATGCATAATAGTAAACAAGCAACAACATCCATTGCATTAATAGAATAATTTTAATACAAGCGTGTTCTGTATAGTTTATA